TTGCCAATCTTTTTTTTCATTTTTTATCGATTATTTGCCTAGGTTCCCGCCTGAAGGCACTTGTGATCCACTGCTACTAGATACGGAAGCCGTTAGGCGAAAGCTTCTTCTATTCCGCCCAAAACCATTTAAACCATTTATTTATAGATTATTTTTGTGTGAATGTGAACTGAGACCTGGTTCTGTATGAAAGTTTATCGATTTTAAAGTCTCCTTATATGTTAAGGTCTAACTGCAAACTTTCATCAGCAAGATTTCACTTAAGTAAGTTGTCTGTATTAGTTTGAATAAATCACAGACGCTATCTTCTGAAACCTCTCTTTGTACTGAGACAACAGTCAATCAGACCAGAGCTGAAGGATGATGGGCCGCGATGATATATTTCAAATGAAAATATATGCCGATTTATTGTCATAAGGGATGTGTGCCATGGCTAATCAAACATAATATGGTTCGGATGCTTAGCTGCTAGCCCTCAGCTAGTGGCGTGCTCATTGCAATTGATAAGGTCAGTACGAAAGTCGAGTGCTTATGCCGAGGCTTATTCTGAGACTTTATTTACTACCACAAACGTTATCAGATGATCCGACCTCCAGTTGATAATGGAGGTGACGAACGACATTTGCTCACAAATGAAAACGATCGTGTCAGTCGAAGACTGATTTGTTTCATGTGTCTCGTAGTCTTAAAGGATATTAATTTTTTTCGTTTCACCTATAGGATGAAGATTGTTGACATAACGGAATTGAAACAAATCATTTCATTTAATTTAGCAGGCATGATTCATTCATATTTAAGTAATTCACCGTTTCTGGTGTCTACGACCTTACGACTTTTCGTGATGTATTAAAGTTCCAGATGGCGTCTGATGTTTGCTTTGTCCAACTTTTGACAGGAGCAAGATTGACAAATAGTCAATTCTACTTATAGTAAAGACGAAATCTCCATGAATCTTTCCCTGATTCTTGGTCTGTTATTGTTGTCACAAAACATTTCAGTTGATCTTAGTTAATGACTTCCAAATTTCGGAATAAACTGGGCAATTATAGAAGTTACTGAGCTCCTTTCTGCTCCCACACTTTCAAATATAATCTTTGTAGGATATTTTAGGTAAATATATAGGCAAAAATATAACAGATGTGTTACACATATGACCGCAATACGGTGTTCCACTCCATGTGTGACGTTACTTTCCTCTGTCACTCTGTTCATGTGCCTTGTGTTTACTCTCTCAAACGTGATTGTCATGGGCCAAAAGCAAGCGAATAATAATACGAATGAAAATATCTGATTAAGAGGTCGAAGTGAGTCACCTCCTTATTTCACGTAGGTATTGTATTTCTTAGTTCCATATACTAAATAATATAATTTCTCCCCTTTGGTGCAATAAATGTTTCGATTGGATATTCGGAAGCTTTCTCCTTAGATTTTATTGTTGACAAGGAAGTACAGATACGGATGTTATAAGTTATTATCACTCTTCATCTTTTACAACTTTGGGTTCTTGACCTTTTGTTTATTATTGCATGTTCTATCACTAAATACCACAGTTTTGTTTTACTGAACCCTATGTTTTGGAGTTTACCATACCGACTCGCTGTTCTATAAATTTCCATGCTTGACTGATTAACGAACAGGATTGTTTTTCAAGAACAATTTCTTGACATTACGTTCATCGTTGAATTGTTAGACTTATTCCTGATTTAAGGGATGATCACTGTTATAGTGTGTTGTGTTCTACTGACATCGACAGATATAAGGAGTATTATGATGATTAGGAGTATTTGAATTATAGTACGAACAATAACGTAGTCGGATCAAGAAGTAATAGATAAGCACGGACGAATGTACTGTATTTGGAATTCGAAATCAAGCATTCAACAAGTACAAAAGAATTGTAGTGTCGGTTATTATGTTAAGCACATTTTGATCTTGTTAATCATTCGCTTATCGGTCTTGACTGATTTTATATGAGCGCGTAGGTATGTGCCCACTTCTTATCCCATCACTCATTACATGTCTGTAACTTATTTTTGTATGCCTATAAATACTGATTAGCGCTTGACGAAATAGAAGTTGGTTTACCCGCAATATCAACTGTGCCTCGTTTCTTTTCTCTCTATTCCATTCGCTTCATATACAAAATATATGTATTCGAAACTCCATTCTCGTTATCCGACTTATTTAAATCCGTCATTGACTAACGCGATTAAAGTCGATGATTATGTACGAGGACAGGCGACATATGTATTTCAACAACAATCATCATTACAATCTCCTTGGAGTCAGATCTCAGGCCATTATAGTGGAGAGCCCTTTCGACAACAACGTTCGATCTAAATGACGATTAAATAACGGACGGCCTCCATAGAATCATTAGTTTACTCAAAATACTTGGTGGCAGAAGTCTAAGAAGATTGAAAAAAAGAGAACGAGAACAGTGAATGATTGGTGTGGAAACGAAGGAACAGTCAAGTTTGAGACAACTGATTGAAATTTTGCAAATGAAGCATTCACTATATATTTCTGAGATTTTGCTGAGACATTTTGTAGTTTTGTATCTAAATTCATTTGGTTGTCCTGACTGGTGTTCACATTCACTTCAATAGCATCATTCTGAGGTATTTCTATTATTTTTAGCTTTAATATGGGAGGGGGCTTTGACTGGCTGGATGAATTAATGATCATCAGCAAAACACAGTGCAAAGACTTCATACATCTTGGTTGGCGTTTATTTTGGGAGTACTTGGTTCTTCGTAACTAGCAATCTTATCATTTATCTCTTTCATCTCACCACTCATGTATAAAAGGTTTTTGGTTACATGGGTCGATCTCTTCCACTCCGATATGCTTTTACAAAGCTATATGAAAAGCTAAAAGATCGGCGAATTTCTCGCTTGATCTCAAAGTATTCCACTTTTGGTTTGCATATTGCTCTGAATTATTCTATGTCGAGTAATTAGTCATCAGTCCGACAACGTTTTGTCGTCTGTTCGCACAGGCTTTACACCTGAAATGAATCAAAGTAATTTCGTATAATGATGGGTTCAAGAGTATTATAATTGGTGGATGAAAACGAAGTTCATCGAGATGAGATGAATCAAAAATTGAACTTATGACGACGTAAAGCTTTCATGTGGTTACAGAGCAATCTAGATGAAATGTTAAGGATTGCAGATTTTCCGTCCATTAACATTAAGCAGCATTCTGATGAAAAACAAGTAGAAGAAATTATGAAGGATCTAACTGCATCGTCAGATCAATCTCTGAAAACTTTCGTTCGGATTACGTAAATCCTCTCTCTACGCGTGTCGATCGTACTAGGAAGAACAGTTTGGCTACGTAAATATAGAAATAGTAGTACTGAATCTAATATACGAACATTTGATTCTCGAAACTATTTTATCAATACATCAATGATCAGTAGCCGGTCAGGATTTAAGAAATAAGTGAAAACGACCACAATCAACCGATGTTTTCGTTCAACCTGACTTACGATATAGTACACACGTTTTCGTTCGTCGAGACTCGCATCGACGACCATTCGAATCAGCATACGAAGGACCCTTCAAAGTTCTTCAACGTGAATCTAAGTACTATATAGTCGATAAGAACGGAACAAACGATAGCATCAGCATCGATCGCTTAAAAGCAGCGTATTTAGAAGGAAATCCTATTCACGTCGATTTTCCTTCGGTACAATCGCACAACACGACACCTACACTCATAATTCCTCAACCGACAAACAACACTAGCGATGATACTCCCAATGTATCTGAAAATATACCTAAAACGACGCGTTCTGGAAGAAGAGTAAGATTTCCAGAACATTTAAACGACTACTGCACGTAAGGCACTACTCGACATTTTATATTATCTCGATCTTTCTTTTTACGATATATAATATTTAAAAAAAACAATTTTAATATGCCTATATATTTATATTTTTATTTAAAAAAACAAAAAACAAAAAATTATTTTTTTTAACGCTATTACGTGTGCTTGAGTTTATTTTCCTTTTTTTCGCCGACATTGTGTTTTTACGCACATACGAGTGTATTTCGACATGCACTTACATTTTCTTTTTTCTTTTCCAGGACGGCTGGAAAAGAACGATGCAGTTTACGAGGAGTCGAAATTTTCTTTTTTTACTATGTTGTACCTCGGTCCCATATAGTAAGGAAAGACGATCAGACGCTGCTACACTTAGTAAGCTATCAGAAGAGTGTTTACCAACGACAAACTCGTTGGGTTTAAACTTCTAGCTGGCCACGTCTTAGGGTCTACTGAATATACGCCCGAAGTTTATTATTCGATATAATTAAAAAGCAAGGCAACTTTGGAGCTACACCTTGTAACTCTAACTCTTGAAATATAGCTGATACCAGGTTGTTTAGAAGTTCGGAATTGTAACCTCAATGTCTAATCCTAGCTCTTAACCCGATCTCCAAACCCTTAACCATTTTCCTTTTCTGTAGAAAACAACTTGCATGCAAATGTTCATTATGGATATCAAAACTCCTACCCCCATGTCATTTTATCACGTTTTTATTGCACACTGTTTCATCACCACGATACTGTTTTCTGATTAGCTAGTATCCGGATCAAGGCTAATTGCGATTTCCAAGATCGCACATACAGTTTACTTCTGCCCAACTAATTAAACTGAGATCTGTCCCCTTAACTTAAACTAAACGTCCCTGAGAATCGAGTTTAACTTTCGTTAGCTACCATTAATTTCAAATTCATTACCGAATACCTGTCATTTGGTTTTTAATCATATAGATCTTTTCAAACTCTAAAAACTGGTTGTGTGGAATAAATTTCTTTGCTATAAAGTTGTTATGGAAACAAATATTTAAAAAGATATCATAATTTCCTAACGTAATAAGTACAGAATAAAATAGTCATAAAACAATGTACTAGGTTATAATTTATTGTCACTTGTTTACAAGTGTCCATGAATTTAATGAAACTTTAAATAAAGAAATATTAAAACACCGAAACGTGGATGCATATTTCAAATAAGAGAAATCGTATTTAGAAATGAAAACGTTTGTCATAAGAGCTATAACGTCTTGAATGAACATCGTTATGATTAAATGTAGTATTGTTATTGACATTTGTTGGCTGAGTTATTGAGGCTGGCGATGTTCCATTTGATCCAATATGCAGTGATGTATGTGGCGTATTACACAAAATACCGTTACTATTACCACCATTTGATATCTGATCAACTGTATTAAAACGTTCATGAAGTTTACGACGTATCCTCGCTCTAGTTAGATTATCCATCTCATCAAAATTTATTGTTTCTTTATCAAGTTTAGCTAAAAATTCTTCCGACGCTGCATTTGAAGAAATATCTGAAAATGTGATTATTGTATGAATACCACGTGGACGTGTATTTGTTTCTTGATTTATCATCGATATTAACTCTGTATTGCATGATCGTGTACGGCACTGCTTATTTGGTAGTTGAATCTGTTGAACAGTTAAATTACATTGATCGTTTGGATCTGTTAAGCTTATATCTGTTTGACAAGCTGTTGAATTTATGCATGGTCTATATTTAGTCAATAAAATTAAAGAAAAGATAATAACATGAGATGAGTAGAATCTTTAATGGTTTACTATCAAATAACCTAAAACTAGAGTCTTTTAATTCATTATTAAGTTAACTATTTTCTAAAATCTTATTTATATTGGACAACAGTTGAAGTGCTTTCCTGTGGAATAAATCAAGCTAACTTCCGATTATGCTAAAAGTGTTAGCGTTTGTTCACTTATTATCACAGTAATTTCATATAGATTTAGTGGTGAATTTTATTGAGTGTCATTGTCTTGTTAATTAATTATAAACAATATAGAACTTCAAATTCATTGGAATACACTTTAAAAACTCAGTAAATTTTTGTTTTTTTAGAGACCCAGTGGATTGTTCAACTGTGTTCAACTGAGCTCCATAATCTGTTATTATTCCTAACAATTTTCAGGAGGCTTCCTTAAATCTACTGATTGGTCATGACAAATCGACATAGCGTATAACTTCATTATGTTTCCTATAGACCTCGCTACATTGTGACATTTATTATTTACATTATAGACTGACTAATTTGTATTACTTGAATCCAAGTGGTTATTAAGTTGTTTGAAATCTTAATATTTAAATATCACTGATTACAGTTGGTGAAAGTTGAATGAAATAAAATGAATTCATGAGCATATATTTAAGAAACCCTTCGATATATTCGTCAAAACCATCAGATCTGATGCACCAGAGGTCTCTTCATGGTGAGGTCCCTATAGTGCACTTATGATGAGTGAGTAAATATGATGAAACAATTATTTAGGGCTTCGTGCCATTCAATGGTTTCTCCGTTATAGTCAATCAGTGACAGAGTTTATTTTGACACTTTTCTTTTAAAAAAAAAGTTGAATTCATTTGAAGTGAAAAAATCTTCCATGTTCAACGTAGCAGTGTGGTATGAAGTCCTTTAAAAGACTAGTTAAAAAAGGTACTATCAAAGTTTTACATGGTGAAAATGTTCAAATTTCAATTAAAACCTATATATCATTCTATTTAATGCGATTATTGAACACGTTTTCCTCTTCATATTGATTGTCAAGTATAAACCGAAGCCATGTCTACTCATAAATTATGATAAATGTATATGGGTCAGGTAAACTATTCAGACAAATAAACGAACTAAAAGATTACCTAAATTGGACCATACTTCAGGTTGTAAATTTTTAATTAAGTAGTTTCGTGAATCAAGTTATTGATTGAAAAAAATAGAGAATAATCAGTAAAGAAGTAAAAATTTACCTGTTAGCCAATTCTATGGATGACGATGTATTAGAACCGGTCGAAGGTGAACTACATTCTAGAGGCATAGATAAATCTTCATAATTTTCATCATCATCTTCATCATCATCGTCAGCGTGATGATGTATATTATTCATTGCTGATTCATTTGTTAAATAGCCTAGATTTACAGCTCCAGTTCGGAAATATATTTCCAATTTAATCGCATCAAATTTATCTGTAATTAATTCTAAATGATTTAATTCAGTAATTTTTTCATATAGATTTGATCGAATTAACAATAATTCCATATCTTGATTATCTAATGAATTGGCAATATCTTTAAATAGACTTTCAGCAATTTCAATATTTTGTTCTTGATCTGGTTGATTTTGTATATGATGCATATTACGTTCACCAACAAATTGATGCAATTCACTAATCAATTCTTGTTCTTGTCGTTGAATCTTAAAATAAGAAAAAAAATTTGACAAAGAAAGAAATAAACAAATTCATGAGTTAATTTTTCTTTAACTTCATCTAGAAGATGATAATTTGTTTAAATGATTCAGAAAAAAATATTTAAAAGAGTAATTAAACAGATATCTATGAAATAACTGACTTAATTTTGCAAATACAAAGTCTTTTTGGTGTATATATCTCATTATGAATGTCAATCGAATAGTAGTTTTGATAATAGTAAGGTTAGAAATTCATTACATAAGTGTTATAACTTGTGGCTTGAGTGCCCTATTAATGTATAACGTAATGATACCGCCAATTAGAGAGCAGTGAATTATCGATCGGACCAACGATGCATAAAACCCGTGTGAGCAGTCTAGAGTGCTTATCGGTCCCGCTTCCTGCCTAGCCCCGCCAGTTAAGTCCAGAACACCAATCTCAGCCTCTGTGATATGAATCATTTATTCCAAATATACTGGGTTTATATACCAACCAGACAGATCACATCGTACCAGAAAATAGGAAATAACATTTGTACAAGATTTGGCCAAATGTGGCTGTGAATGAGATAGTAATTGATAGACAGGGCATAACTCCAAAATGGTAAATCGTATAATAATAATTCATAGGTCAAATTAAAGCTTATGATAAGAGGGATATGAATATGAATAGTTTAATTACAATTGATTGATCACTGGGTGGTGATCAATCTCATGCTTGTCTATTCCTTATTAGTGCAGATCGAATGCTATCGATCATGTTGCAATGTGGCCACCAGTCTAGGTGACTCGATACTGCGGGCACTATGAATTGAGATTAGATGGTGGTTGAAGGTAGTCAACAGGAAACCCTGGACCCGGGTTTCGTGCTACTTGGCACTCGTCAGCAAGGTGTACTTGTAATCTTGAGGGAACTGGTGCTCCCTGGCGGATTCGATCTCGTGTCACCCAGCTTCACAGTCAGAGACGTTACCACTGAGCTATACGAGCCGTGACTAACCTCCTGTAGGACTGAGATGTAATCACAATTGATTGATCACCGGGTCCAGGGTTTCCTGTTGACTACCTCCAACCACCATCTAATCTGAATAGTTTAATTATTTAACAATTATACGATAAAAATATACGCATAGTATTGGTCCATAAATGGATCCCCAAATTTACCATCCATTATTCTTATCAGGATATAACACTAAGATATGTGTTTAGTTTTATTTAAGATCTTTAGTTGTTATTAACTGTTATTCTAATGAATATTGTTTTATTCGAATCTCGCAAGATGAGATTGTAGATGCGCGCTGTTGAGGAGTCCCGTACTAGAACAAAACGGCCGTTCAGTACATCCATATTTTTCATGGTAATCTAGCTTCAATTGACTTATGAATTCAACTATTAAATTGTAACATTTAACAATAGTTCCTAGGCTTTCAATGAAATGAATAAAAATAAATGGTGGTTGTCAATCAACTATACCTATGATATCATTTATTGAAATAAAGTATGATCCTGTTACATAGATATATAGTAATCATTTAGAAGTTATCTGTGAGTGAAAATGAAGATAGTCGTTAAGTATTAGAATGAATTATAAGTGTTTATATTGAACATACAACACAAATAAATCTAATCATTTTTTTTCGTCAAAGTTAACACTTCAAATAATAAATAACTTTGACCATAGTTAATAATTAGCATGTACGATCTGTTTCTTTTACTATGATTCAATTGGTAATGATATCTTTAGAATTTATGTTTGTATACACGCTTCCAAATGCCCTGGTACAGTCAAGGGCGGGGATAGTCAGCTCTCCCTCTTGAAATAACCTCACATAACCACGAGATTACAGCCACTGACAGAGAAGTCCAACTCACTGACTTCTCGAGGCAGGGGTGTTATGTACGGGACTGAGAGGACGAAAAATGAATGTCCAATGCTTTAACCCTGGTTGTTTGGTATGGAGGAACCACTTAGAGGAGCTGGGAAACCCTGATTCCAGACCAACAGTGCACATGGGCTCCACGATCCTGAGGAAACAAATGAAGTATGAACCAATTATTGGTCATCGTCTACCATAGGATCACATCTTCTAAAGTTGCTTCACTGCTTTATGGATCAGATCTTTAGATCGAATTCTCCGGATATGGAGCTCTAATAAAACCATTTACTTCAGTTTGGGCACCCGAGCAGTATCACAGCTCAAACACCAACCATATGATTGGTGTAGCACATATGTATTCGGTTCCCCTTTGTAACAATATCTATGTGTTCACTATATATCCATTTATCAATCTAATCAGATATTATGTAAAGTTAATACTTTAAATAACTATTTTTCTTGTTGTTATTGTATAAAATATAGTGATATACATTTACAATTAACTAATTAGCTGATGTCAGATCCAACAAAATGAACATTTCGTTTTATATTGATTATGAAGATTTATTTATAAATTGTTGATTAATTATATACTAATATAAAGTGTATTTAAATTTAGCGCTTCTATTTTTATATTCATATTTAAATATTTAAAGTAGAATATAAATATAACATCAAAGTATTGTGTATTGCCTAATATATAAATAACAAATTCATTAGATGATAACAATAACACATTGATTGATTCATTCATTCAAAACAATAGAATAAGATGATTATAAATATAAAGAAGTGAAGATGAAAAGAATTTATGTTCTATTTAAACAAAACACAACAAAAAATTGAAAGTTTTTATAGTTCATTGGTATTATTGACAGTTAACATCAAACATTTGATTAATTAAATAAATAAAGAACTGAAACAATGATATTGAAATATATTGAATTCTCTAAATAGTTATACTGGAATTATTTTCTAATAATTTGTACTTCTTTAATGTTTATGATCAGGTCTCTTAGTGATTGGGAATAAATATCAACTCTGTAATACAAGTACATCAAGAAATAGGTTATAGATTTCACAGCTAACCATGATAAAAATGTACTAGAATTTATATTGAGATCCTATTAGTTTAGATGGAGTTTTGTTCTCTGAGCTGAATGGTTTGATCATGGTGTTTTCATTGTTCTTCTGAACAATATCAACAGTACAAACTTCAGGTAGACGTGAATTGTATCAATGGGAGATACAATCAAAATAAAGAAGTGGACAATGACAAGTTAAAGGTTAGCAATAACCATTCAAGGTTGGGGTCTACAGGACAATCTGTGAGTCATATGTGGAGAAAATAAAACAGTTCATTTCTAACTGAAGTTTGTGCTGATGATGCTGTTTAATAGAACAATGAAACCTCCACGACCAAACCAACCAGGTCAGAGAACAAAACTCCGCTTAAACCGTGCACCAGAGCTACAAATCTTCTCCGCCATCTCAGGATCATATCTGTCTTGTTCCGATAAAATTTGTTTTTTTCAAAATCCTAGTTAACATTATTTTGTGAAGACATATTTCATTACTTCCTTACTTTTAGCTTCATTTACCATACGGTTGATCTTTTTATGTACAAGACATACTATTAAATATTAGTCAGTAATCTGAATTATATTTAATCATTTATTGGGCCTTTGTACTGAATAGAGTGACCTCTTCCTTAGGTTTACCTGTGGCCTGATGATGGTTTACGGCTGCGTCCCACTTTCTTTATTAAGCTCTTCGTTTCGCATACGCCAAACTAGAAAATTATTCTCGTAATTCTGTCTCAGAGTTGTCTTACCAATCATCGTTACTCACTTAGTAATTTAAAACAGAGACGATAAAAAGAACAACTTTTCAACTACTAGCTGAGCATTTTATGAAAATAATTATCAGTTTTTAATAGAACAATGGGAAAACGGAGTTTATCTGCAAAATGTGTGTCACACGTGGGGTATTTTAGCTTTCGGACAGATAAATCCATTTATTCATACTGAGTTACATTTTGACCTTGTCAATTATTCGCTTATCATCAGCCCTGACTGTTTTTATATGAGTGTATGAGTGAATCGCTTACTCTATTTGTCACATGTCTTTGGCTTATTTTTATGTGGCTATAAATATTGAGCCACGTTTGATCAAACGGAGCTGGTATGTTTATCGTCTCCAGTTCGCTCCTCCTCTTCGTTTCTCTGACTTTCTCTGAATCAATCATCAGTGTATGAAATATGCGTATCCAAAATTCATTCTCGTATTTGACTTATTCAGTTAATTTCTAGAACTAATCAAGTCAATAATTACATACGAGAGTAGCCGAATTTTATATTTTGTTATCATAGTCAGAGTCAGATCCTTAGGCCACAAAGTCTGAACCAGGTTTCTAAATGAAATTTAGTGAAATGAAATGTTGTCTGAATAAAGAAAACCTTTCGAATTATTATTTTAATCTGAAACAAATAATAAATTCAGATGTAATGATAGAAATCCCACTGAATGTATCTAATATGTCTTACTGTCTATTTTCATTACCATATATATTTTAATCTAACAGGTTTACCATACAATTATCAAGCTGAATGAATAGTTATGTTAATTCACTCGTGCTGAAATGGTATCTCAACACTTGTTGATTACTGCATTTGATCCAATGTCGTAGAGATTAGTTACAGTTAAAGTGATTTATTAGTAACACTTCTCTATTGTTATATAGTTTTAACTTACTGTTACGCTTTCTTGCTGGGGAGTTTACTGAAGCATAAAAGCTAATTGATAATCATTATATTCATTATTAAAGATCAGTACGTATAAGGTGTATGTTAATAAAATGTCAGTAAAAGAGAAGTATCTTAGAATAAATAAATTATTCAGATGTTCCCAGTGAAATAAATGTGATTGATCAGTGAACATAGACTGACAGGTACAGCTTACTAACTACTAAACATAAGATTTCCCTTCTAATTTTGATTTTTACACTGAACTCACTGAGTGTAGACTATTTTATAGTTGTGTTGAATAAAGTACTGTCTAATTTATAATGCGGTTTTTTATATTTAGTCACAAATCGTGTACCTGGTATAACTTGATCCAGTTTGTGTA